GGATGCGAGGTCAATGGTCTAACGACTACGGCATGCACGACTATGAGTACACCCCCACCCCCATTTTGTTCCGAATCACGGGTACCATGCTTATCAACATGTTGTTGCTGTGATGATGCGGGGAATCGATGCACCAGAGGGTATGCATCATGGGCAAGACGACTGTTCACGTATGCCGTGTTTCGATCCAGCACTGATATGTTCACTCGCAACGGAACGAAGACAAGAATAGTGAGTGAACTGTCGCACCTCACTCACGAATCACACCCACAGCATCGCGGCCTCGGCGCGGATCGGCGTCTGGACACCCATCGCTGTGCGATCGGAATCGGAGAACGAATCATTCTCCTATAGACGACCGCATGGAGTCGCATGCTTACGGCGGTCTGGTTGTGGGAAAACAGATGAGGTCGACTTGCACCTTCCGAGTGGACGCAGTGTATGCACACCACTGAGCATAGGTTACGCTGTTGAAGGTGCGACCGCGAACGAAACGTCGGCTCGGCGATTCGGGGACACTTTTCTGACTCCCGCGAATTCTTGTATCTCATGCTCAAAACCTACAGACACTAGCCGCGGCTGCTCCTCCGCGCTCAAACCTCGCCCGCTTCGCGAGGACTCCGGCTTCCTGTCCGTCGACCTTTTGGTTGTGCACCATCATCTCAACCGCTACCCTTTCTCTCACCTATTTCAAAGCTGACGGCGATACGTCCTCTCGAGTCGCCAACTTTTTCGAATGTGGGACCCCGGCCGAAACCTTCAACCAGGATGACAATGCGTGCTGAATTGAATCAACGTCATGAATATTCTCGCACACCCCCTTGGGACAGCCAGCTTGTGACCGCGGAAGGCGTCCGGGTCAGTTGGACCAGTACGGACAGTCGAAGGTAGTGCGCGGAGACCGAAGCGGTTGTAATGTGGAGAGAACAAGAAGAACAACAATAACAACGTCGAAGCAACAAACCAAAAGGTGTAAACATTTTTCGATATTCATTTTCCCCTCTTTCCAACCCGATGCCGGTCAAGCCGAACCTTCCTCGCCAAGGACAACATTTCCGCAACCAATTAATGCTAACGAATACAACGGTGAGTGCCCACGCAAGCTTCCGACACATTGAAATCTCGACGATTGCCCCAACAGCTCACTGAACAGGTGACCTGAACCCCGGCCCCATAGACGGCACGCGCAATACACTCTTTGAACTCCGTCGGGGACTCACATCAAGCTTTGACCGGACTGGGTAAGATCCGGAGCAGAGAACCATCTGTCCGGCTCAGATAAGAATGTGCTCTTCCTGCAGACACTGTGGGGCTGCGCCAGTGCTGATGTGCTTCTGGAGCACATTCCCCGCGGTTCGCCGGCGATACGAGACCATAGTCTGCTCAACTCCGCGCACGTGTGCTACTTCGAGGGCGTACTACTTCGAGGGTGTAACACCCCGTGAGCTTAGGTACAAGTTCAGCAGCATACTTGTAACAGTATACACATTGGTCTGCTCCTCTTGACAGAGGGCACCGATTGTCTAGCAGCGCTGACGTGCACTTGAAGTAAAAAATACAGCGGGCGGTGGTGGTCAACTTCTCGACCAAAATACAACAGCGCGGTGCAGCTTCTCACCGAGCAGCATACAGACTTCACTTCAACAGCAGCCTACATCAGCCTACACACCTTGAGTTCCACGGGTGGGCAATCCCTGCCCGCGACGTCTCTGGCTGAAGACTGGAAGATGGAGGTGACCGTCTGCATGATGCTCTCGAACAACACGAAAGGGATGCGGAAGGTGCCGGCAAACTGCACAGCTTCTCGACATTCCGGGTCCAGTCCCGCCTCCGCAGCACTCAGCCCTCGCAGCTTCAGTACCCACTTCCCCCAGGTTGACCGCCAGAAATTCCGGGCGAGGGTAGGAGCGCCGGATGTGCTTCTCGCGCTCCTCCTCCTCCTCCTCCTCCTCCTCCACCAGCAGATCGCCCAACAAACCACCCGGTTCTTGGTCATCTTGCTCACCATCGGAGTCGAACGTGTGCATAATGTTCTGCAAACTCGATGCTACGGCAGCAGCCCCGGCCATTATGGACTCCTCATCCATGTTGGGCGTGGCCTTCTCGTCGGCGCGACCTTTTCGTGCGTGTGCGTGTAGATGTGTTCGTGTGTTCTTGTGTTGTTGGGGTGTGTTCGTGTGTGTCGGCGGCGTATGTGCCGGAAATGCGGTGCTACTTGCCTTTTCCGCCGCCCAAACATTTTCGCGACCTGCCCCATTTCAAA